CTCTCTCTCTCTCTCTCTCTCTCTCTCTCTCTCTCTCTCTCTCTCTCCTTTAAAAAATCTAAACTCATAAGAGTGCTTAGAACTCTACAATTCTGGCCCCTCTAACATAACCCTGCACCCTCTCACTTTGCACCTGCTTTGTAGACTTGACCTTACAGCGTCTCTCCAATCTTAGCCCACAGCCTTCTGCTCCCTCTGTGTCACCCACTTTAGGTCTCAGTACCACTGTTCCTTTCTCTTGAGGTGCCTTCTCTGTTCCTTTTCATAGTATTCTGTCCACTCTCTTCCTACCACTTCCCCACATTTCATACCATTAGTTTGTGTGTCTATTTCATGAGTGTACGATGTATGTGCACCAGCTGATGCACGGCACGGGAGCCTGTGTGACACTGTCTTGTTGACATAGGAGGGGCCAGACATGAGAGTGGCATTATGTCTACACAAGGAGATCCTGGGATGTATAAGAAAGTGAGCTAAGCATGAGCCTGTGAGGTAGCCAGCAAGCAGCATCCCTCCATGGATTCACTTCGAGTTCCTTCCTTGACACAGTGATGGATGCACTTGGACGTGTGAGCCTAGCAGAGCCAGCCCTCTCCAAGCTTCTGTCAGTCAGAGTGTTCTTTCACAGTAACAGATGGAAACTACAACATAGCTTTCCATAGCACCACTGCACACAGCACCCATCTTCCTGTCAGTGACTCTGATATCTATTTGGCCAGGTTGGACACATCGGAATCTTTTCTTTGGTCTTTGGGATGAATACAAATTTCCTTTATGTTGGCATTTAGTCTAGGCTTCACCCCACAGTTACCTGGCAACAGCCAGGTGTGCCTGACTCACTATAAAAGGGGCTGCCTGCCCCCTCCTCTTTCTTGTGCTCTTGCTCCCTTCTCTTCTTCTCTTGCTCCTGCTCCTTACCCTCTCTCTCCCCCATTCTCCTCCCCACCCTGTCTGTCCACATGCTCGTGGCTGGCCTCTACTCTTCTCCCTCTCCCTCTCCCTCTCCCTCTCCCTCTCCCTCTCCCT